TTGGCTCACTGCAACCAACCTCCACCTCCTGGGTTTAAGCCATTCTCCTTCCTCAGCCTCCCAAGTAGCTGGGATTACAGGTGCCCGCCACTACGCCCAGCTAATTTTTGTATTTTTAGTAGAGATGGGGTTTTGCCATGTTGGCCAGGCTGGTCTCGAGTTCCTGACCTTAGGTGATCTGCCCGCTTCGGCCTCTCAAAGTGCTGGGATTACAGGCGTGAGCCACCGCACCCGGCTGTTTATCCATTTTTTTCTTGTGTATGCCAGCCTCACAGAGTGTGGGATATGAGAAAGAAAGGATCCTAGGGTTGAATAAACTTAAGACATTTGTCATGCCTTATCCTCTTCTGGATATTTACATGGTACATTCACATCTTAAAGACCCTGAGAATTCTTGCAGAATAGAGAAATATATATATATATATATATATATATATATATATATATATATATATATTTTTTTTTTTTTTTTTTTTTTTTTTTTTTTTTTTTTTGAGATGGAGTCTTGCTCTTGTTGCCCAGGCTGAAGTGCAATGGCACAATCTCAGCTCACTGCAACCTCCACCTCCCAGGTTCCACCTCCCAGGTTCAACCTCTCAGCTCACTGCAACCTCCACCTCCCAGGTTCAAGCAATTCTCCTGCCTCAGCCTCTCAAGTAGCTGAGATTATAGGCACCACCACACCTGACTAATTTTGTAGTTTTAGTAGAGACGGGGTTTCTCCATGTTGGTCAGGCTGGTCTCAAACCCCTGACCTTAGGCGATCCACCAGCCTCGGCCTCCCAAAGTCTTGAGATTACAGGCATAAACCACCACACCCGGCCTAGAGAAGTAAATTAAGCTTTGTTTAACAAAGTGTCCCTAAAGTTTGTTTGATCATAGAACCCTTTGCTTGTGTAGCACTCATTATTTCCCTTAGAATTAATATTCTGTGAACACAGTTTAGGAATAGAGGACTGGATGTTGATGTTTTATTGTCTGGGAACCTGGAACCAAAATAGAAAGCCAGGATCCATAAAGATAGTAACAGAATTGTTGTGGGTATTTCTAGAACCAAAAGCCATCCTGAAGATTGGGTGGAGGTTCTGGGTGATACCGAGGCACTCAGCAATGGCCTTGGTCAGTAGTCCGTGTTTCATCTTGTACGCTATAACTTCAGAGATGGCCAGGTGTGGTCACTCACTCCTGTAATCCCAGTGCTTTGTGAGGCCGAGGCGGGTGGATCAGTTGTGGTCAGGAGTTTGAGACCAACATAGCGAAACCTCATCTCTACTAAAAATACAAAAATTAGCTGGGCGTGGTGGCAGGCAGCTGTAATCCTAGCTACTTGGGAGGCTGAGGCAGGAGAATCGCTTGAACCTGGGAGGCAGAAGTTGCAGTGAGCAGAGATTGCGCCACTGCACTCCAGCCTGGACAACAGAGTGAGATTCTGTCTCAAAAACACAGAAACAAAAACAGAAACAACAAAAGACTTCAGAAAGGATACCTGGATGAATGAGACACAAAGTCAAAATAAAATGGAAGTCTCTAGATCATTCCATGGACTCTCCTTTCTGACACACCCATCTCACTCTCTGAAACCAATAAGAAATCTCTTCCTGGCCCCTGTGTTTATACAGCTTGCTCTGATGGCTGGTCCTCACCAACCCTGTTGTGGCTGGGGCCGATTCTGAATATGGAGCTGCTATTATATAGTAGGGCTGGATGCGAACCTGTTTTGTGGATCTTCATCCTAGTTGTAAATTATTTCTCAGCCTCAAATTTAAACTCCTTTGCTTCTGGGCCCTGGTCTGCCCCATGGATTTGAGAGTGGGCATTTAGTCTCTCTGCTCTGTGCCCCTCAGTTCCATTACCATCCCTTGAAGTAGACTAGACACCTGTTGTTTTCAGCTCCTTACATCCCTTTTATTTTTGCTCATGGGACACCACCTCTCTCCTCCATCCTATATTCAGGTGGGTCTGCCTGTCCGTAATTGCTGGTAGGGACCAAAGCTGGGGTTCAAACCCAAGAGGTCTGACTCCAAAACCCACTTTCATAAAAATTACTCTAGCTTGCTTCCTGGTGCCAAATTGCATTGCTTTTCATTGCATTTAATTTTTAACACTCTAGATCGTGAAATATACTAGAGTTTCTCTCCAGTCATTTGGATAACCACATGTCAGACAATATTTGAGTCAAGGTTTAAGATTACACAAAATAAACCAAAGTTCTCATCTCATAACAGGGAAAAGTTTCATCTTACTAGTTTTAATGGTGGCAAAAAATTAAGCTTCTGTTTGAAAAATTATTTTTACTCTAAGATCCTTAGTCCTTTTTATTCCTCAACTACATCAGTTAAAATGTGGCCATGTATGATGATTAGGGAAGCAAACAGCTCTTTCTGAAGGATACTAACCTAATTACTCTGGAAATATCAACCATGAATCAAGAAGCATATTATGACTTAATTGTTCATTACACAAAATTTAGATAATCCTTCATTTCTTCCATGCCTTTCCTCTCTCCATCTAGAAGCATATTTAACTAAGTAATCAGAGGTACTAACTATTCACAGCCTAGGCAAGTGTGGGCAAATAACCACTGCAATAACACATTGGCAGCCTCAGAAATGACTGGCTATGAATAAGCACATAGCACTTAGTCTGCTCCTTCTTATGTGTTTGCCAATACATTTGCAATTTCATGCACAGTTTTAAATGTTAAGCATTAATCTGAAATGGGCACTGAAGCATCAATAAAGTCTACAATTTGCCCCCTTTAATGAAAATGCTAGATATAGATTTAATGCAAAACTAAACATTTGGCTCAATATGTTCTACTCCAGTAAATTAGCTAGTGTTTGTCATCTTTTTAAAAAAACAGGGGTTGAATGCCTCATTTCACATGGTTTTGTTAGGGACAGATAGAAAGCTGATAAACAACCCATTTGTTCTATGACAGTAGCTCCTAGTCACACTACTGAAGTTAAGCTTCAGTGCTCATTTCCTTTACAAATCCTGTTGTGAGTTTAAGTGGCCTGCTGTTGAATATTTGAAGTGTAGCCTTGATGAGAGTGTTTTCCCAGAGGAACACAGACTAAGCTTTTTTGGATGGTGGCCCTAGAGCAGTGGGTTCTGAAATGACTCGGTGAACCTGAAAGGGAACAGGGCATCAGTGAGCCCTACTGTGTGCTATTTGAAACTGTCAGAGATGTTATCCCACAACACCCCCAAAAGGTTCATGTAATTGCCCTCTACTTGGCCAGATGAGGAAACCGAGGGCTAGAGATGAAGCTGTGTAGCTAGGAAGTGATGAAACCTGGATTTGACCCCACTCACTATTTCACACTGTCTGGCAGCTGGGAGCTGCCCTTCTTCTATCTCTACCAGTGGTGCATTATTTGTCATTCAAGGAGCTTACACATGCCACCTCCTCCAGGAAGTCATTGCTGACTGCTCACTATTAACCATCCTTCTTATGTGTTTTTATTGTACTTTGTCTGTTTCCAATGTAGTCCTTAATTTCGAACCTTTTGGTACATTAATTTTAATACCTGTCTGACTCTTTATAAGGGGAAGGGCTATCTCTTACATCGACCTTCTATATACTGCAGGACTTTCACTATCAAAGGCACTCAATAAATGTTCATTGAGGCTGGGCATGGTGGCTCACACCCCTAATCCCAGTACTTTTGGTGGCCAAGGTGGAAGGATCACTTGAGGCCAGGAGTTTGAGACCAGCCTATGAAACATAGCAAGACCTCATCTCTGCAAAAAAAAATTTTTTTTTTTGAGACGGAGTCTTGCTCTGTGGCCAGGCTGGAGTGCAGTGGTGTGATCTCGGCTCACCGCAACCTCCACCTCCCGGGTTCAAGCGATTCTCCTGCCTCAGCCTCCCAAGTAGCTGAGATTACAATGGCGTGCCACCATGCCCAGCTAATTTTTGTATTTTTAGTGGAGACGGGGTTTCACCATGTTGGCCAGGATGGTCTCGATCTCCTGACCTCGTGATCCACCTGCCTCAGCCTCCCAAAGTGCTGGGCTTATAGGCATGAGCCACTGCACCCAGCCAAAACGTTTTTTAAAAAAATTAGCCAGGCGTGGTGGTGAGCACCAGTACTCCGAGCTACTCAGGAGGCTTAGGTGGGAGGATTGCTTAAGTCCAGAAGGTCGAGGCTGTAGTGAGCTATGATTACACCACTGCACTGCAGCCTAGGTGACAGAGTGAGACCTGTCTCCAAAAAGAGTTAAAAAACTGTTCGTTGAAATGTTTATAAATTAGATGGTTCTCAATATCTCATATCCTATTTCCAGAATTATGAAGAACAGTACAGTCGAGGGGGCAGGTCTTGCAGTAAGCCTGGCTGAGTTTGAATCCCAGCTGTATGACCTTAGGAGAGTTGCAGAGCTTCTCTCAGTTTCCTATTCCTTCTGTTATAAAACAAGGATAGGAATAGTAGCTACTGCAAAAGGTTGTTGCAAAAGTCCAATAAGAGAAGGCACACATAGTGCTTAGAATAGTGCCTGGTACATAGAAAATGCTCACTGAACCTTGGCTATTATTTCCGGAAATGTTTGGAGATTTTTACTGCACAGGCGAGAAACTTTGTGGCACTGGTTGTTTACCATTTTAAAACGTAAAAAAAAAAAAAAAAAGGCAATATTTGATTTGATTAATAGTTGAACTGACAACGTGCAAGAACCATTTAATAATGACCAATCATTAAAGATTATGGAAAAAGAAATGATTTAAGAAGGCCAAGACCCAGGCCCGGGTATTGGTAAGCCCAGAACTCATCACATGCCTGGAGTTGACAGTTCGATCAATTCTAGTCTTGAATATGGGCAGGAGATTTTTGTAAAAAAAAAGTTTTTGGGCAATATGCATACTGCTTTCTTTTTTTCTTTCTCTTTTCCTGCCCCCTGGGCAATATGCGTACTGCTTTCTGAGAATGACTTTCCAAATAATTGTGTACCTACTGACGCAGGTGTCATAATTTCCAAACCCATCCAATCAATATGTACCGGCGAGAGATCTGCTCACAGTTCAGAGAGCTACTTTGGAAACTCCAGTGGGCCATTCTATTCCTTGTTCTGGATAACCAACTGACTAACCTACCTGCCTATTTAACACTATTTGACTTGGGTAAGCCCCTCAACATCCCTTGGGACTTGAATCTTCTTACGGATAAATATGGATCAAAATATGGATACCTCTCCTTCCTTTCCCTCTTTGGACCTCAGTTTCTCATCTGTAAAATGACCAGGTGGCCTCTCAGTCCCTCCTCTGGCTAACCTTCCATGGTTCTGCCTCCTCTGGGATGCTGTAAAGTCAGTTCAATGATATTGACTAAGCTCCTGTGAACTTCCTGACCCATAGCCCAGCTGGACACCAACTGACTAGGAGGGCTGATGGCCACATGGGGAAGAACTGCCTCTCCTCAACTGCTGGACAGGGAAAGGAGGGGTGGGGCAGCTGCTGATGGCTATGTCTTCCCCTGTGTCCTGCTCACCTGGCCTCTGCTTGCATGTAACAACTCTATTTTTGGACAGGAGGTGGGTGGCAGGAGGGCCCAGAGGTCTGAATTTTCTTAAACAGTCAGGCATCCTTGGGCTGACACGGTGTCCTTGCTCTCACCAAAGGACATGATGAGTGTATAGAAAGTGAAGCTACACGAGCAGCCCATTGTGAAGGGAGGAGAAGGGCAGGAGGTCTTGTAGCCTAGACTCTTTGGCTCCAGATGGCTGGAAAAGTCAACAGCTCTAGACAGTTTCCCAAGCCGGCTGTGCACCAGCAGCACTTGGAAAGGTGGTTTGAAGTACAGATTTGTGGGCTGTAGCTTAGAACAGTCTGATTCAGTAGGTGAATGGCCTGAGCGTCTTATTTTTAGCAAACTCCCCAAGTGGTTCTCGTGCATAGCAAGGCTTGGGAATCCCTTTGGTTTAGGTCATAGGGAGATCGAAGCTGTAAGAGAAGAATGGCTCACGAAGCACATCAGCTCCACCCATGCTCCAGTGGGGTCGGCAGTATGCGGCATCCCAGCTCATTCCAGCTGTGTCTTGGTTGTGTCTTAAAATCTCAAAGCTTCGATGCTTATTTCTAAAATGGGAACCATACTGACAACCCTATAGTATCAGTGTGAGGGTGAAATGGATGATACCCATAAGGCACTTAGCAGGGGGCCTGGCATAGAGTGAGCATTGAATAAATGTTAGCTATTGTCATTCTTTTTTTTTTTTTTTTTTGAGACGGAGTCTCACTTTGTCGCCCAGGCTGGAGTGCAGTGGCTGGATCTCAGCTCACTGCAAGCTCCGCCTCCCGGGTTTACGCCATTCTCCCGCCTCAGCCTCCCGAGTAGCTGGGACTACAGGCGCCCACCACCTCGCCCGGCTAGTTTTTTGTATTTTTTAGTAGAGACGGGGTTTCACCATATTAGCCAGGATGGTCTCAATCTCCTGACCTCGTGATCCGCCCGTCTCGGCCTCCCAAAGTGCTGGGATTACAGGCTTGAGCCACCGTGCCCGGCCGCTATTGTCATTCTTGTTGTTGTTGACATTATTACGGAGGGCCAGGTGCGGTGGCTCCCACTTGTCATCTCAGCACTTTTGGAGGTTGAGGAGCAAGAATTGCTTGAGGCCAGGAGTTCGAGACCAGCCTGGGCAACATAACAAGCTCCTGTTTCTACAAAAACAAAAACAAACAAACAAACAAACAAACAAAAACAACCTGAAAAAATTAGCCAGGTGTGGTGGTGCATGCCTTTAGTCCTAGCTACTCAGGAGGTTGAGAAGAGAGAATCACTTGAACTCAGAAGTTGGAGGTTGCAGTGAGCTATGATTGTGCCACTGAACTCCAGTCTGGGCAACAGGGTGAGACCTCATCTCTTAAAAAAAAAATAAAAAGAAAGGATCTTTAAATTCTTTAAAAAAAAAAAAAAAAACCCAAACAAGGCTGGGCGCGGTGGCTCAAGCCTGTAATCCCAGCACTTTGGGAGGCCGAGACGGGCGGATCACTAGGTCAGGAGATCGAGACCATCCTGGCGAACACGGTGAAACCCCGTCTCTACTAAAAAATACAAAAAACTAGCCGGGCGAGGCGGCGGGCGCCTGTAGTCCCAGCTACTCGGGAGGCTGAGGCAGGAGAATGGCGTAAACCCGGGGGGCGGAGCTTGCAGTGAGCTGAGATCTGGCCACTGCACTCCAGCCCGGGCGACAGAGCCAGACTCCGTCTCAAAAAAAAAAAAAAAAAAACCCCAAGCAAAAACCATTATTAACTAATGAAGCACTTGGACATTCCTGCTGTTGTTCTCTTCCTTATTGTGGGGTGGGTGTCTTAGTTTGGGCTGCTAGAACAAATACAACAGACTGGGTACTTAAACAACAAACATTTCTTTCACACAGTTCTGGAGACTGGAAGCCCAAGGTCAAGGTACTCACAGATCTAGTGTCTGGAGCAGGCTCACCTTCTGGTTCAGAGATGGCTGTCTTCTCACTAGGTGCTCACATGGCAGAGAGCAGAGAGACACAGGAAGCAACTGCTCATGTCTCTTCTTAGAAAAGCATGAATTCCATTTCTGAGGGCTCTACTCTCATGATCTAATCACCTCTCAAATCCCTGCCTCCTAATTCCATCACACTGGGGGTAAAGATTTCAACATATGAATTCTGTTCAGTCCATAACAGTGGGGTAGCCCTGGACAACATCTAAGTTCTTGTTCGCTAGATGATTTGCTCCAGAGCCCCCAAGGAACTGCACTTCTAACACATTTTACAAAGATGACTCATAAAAGTAGGCTAAAAAATGTTAATATTATTCTAACTGGGTGAGGAGTATTTAACTGGCTATTAAGATATTCCTTCAATTTCCTTAATATTTGAAATATTTCATAACAACAATAAACTAAGCTAACATTCATAAATGCCAGCTGATTTGTTCATGTTAATCCCAGCTGGTGTGACCTTGATCAAAATGGGTAAGCAGACAAAATGGCCTTCAGGATCCTCCAGTTGTGTGACTATACTCCCCTCTTTTAGACCCCCGTCACTCCCTCCCAAGTTCTTCGGCCACCCAAGACCTCCCTTCCTCAAGGACTTGTTCTTCCAGAGCTCCTGATCTCATCTTGGAACTAGTCTGACTGGAGGTATTAACAGTTGATAGTGGCTTAATTTCGATTTCTACTTTTTCTCATAAACCAAGTGGCATACACGTCGGACGCCTGCCTGTGAGTGATGAGGACGTTTTGATGGAGGGTGAAAGTTGTACACTACCCTTGCAAACTACCAGGTGTAAAGCTGTTCCCTTGTTGCAGTGGAAAGGTCAACCCCATTTCAATGTTATAATGTTCAGTTTCTGTTCAGAGCAATTCAGAATGGTGCCAAACAACTGCTCAATTCAGGCGTGTGTGTGTGCGTGTGTGCGTGCGTGTGTGTGCGTGTGTGCGTGTGTGTGTGTTTAACCTGTCAATTTGTTGGTTGAAAAAAAGTGATGAGTTGCCTTTGTGTAAACAAAATAGCCAGTTAATTGACTGGGATTTTCACTTTTTAACCAGTCATCATTGCAAAGACAAAGAGAACTTTTGCTAAGTTGCTTTTGACAATGTCACACAGTCAAGCAAGCACAAATTCAAGGTGAGATTTTCCTTTTGTTACTATCCTCCTCTGGTGTGAATAGCTAACCTGATATCAGATCTTTCTCTTCTTCCTTCACAGTCCTCCCAATGGGCTTTGATTCCCTTCGAGTCTTAGTTTTCTGCTGAGGAGGCACCTCTCTCTCGGATACCTGCAGCGCTGCCCACACTTCAATCATTCCCATATCGCTCTCCTGGTTTTTGCCATATCCATGTATCACCCTTCCTATCATTGAACCAGCTTTCTTTATATAAAATCACTTAGAAAATAAATTTATTTTTGCCAGGCACGGTGGCTCACACCTGTAATCCCAGTACTTTGGAAGGCCAAGGCGGGTGGATCACCTGAGGTCAGGAGTTTGAGATCAGACTAACCAACATGGTGAAACCCTGTCTCTATTAAAAATACAAAATTAGCCAGGCATGACAGTACATGCCTGTAATCCCAGCTACTTGGGGGACTGAGGCAGGAGAATCGCTTGAACCCAGGAAGCAGAGGTTGCAGTGAGCCGAGATTGCACCATTGCACTCCAGCCTGGGTGACAAGAGCAAAATTCTGTCTCGAAAAACAACAACAACAAAAAAGAAAATAGATTCATTTTTAAAGAGAACTTTACATTATTACCATAAATGGGAAACCAGTATTACTCACCATACATACAGGGTAACCATAAAAATTAACACAGTGAAAACAAAACAGTGTTCCTAAATTCTAGCTGTATTCCCTAATAAGAATCTTGACTTAAGACCTGCTTTCTCTAATAAAAAAATAAAGGAGGGCCGGGCATGGTGGCTCACGCCTGTAATCCCAGCACTTTGGGAGGCTGAGGTGGGCGAATCACTTGAGGTCAGGAGTTCCAGACCAGCCTGGCTAACATGGCAAAACCCCATCCCTACTAAAAATACAAAAATTACCTCAGCATGGTGTGCATGTCTGTAGTCCCAGCTACTCGGGAGGCTGAGGCAGGAGAATCACTTGAACCTGGGAGGCAGAGGTTGTGGTGAGCCGAGATAACGCCACTGCACTCCAGCCTGGGTGACAGAGTGAAACTCCGTCTCGGGGGAAAAAAAAAAAAAAGGGAGTAGCAAGTGTTAAACTTTAAAAACATACTAGCACCAAACTCAGATTTTTTCTCCTTGACTTAATCCAAACAAACAAAAAGCTAATAACCTCTTTAAGTAATCAACTGTTATTTAATGCCTACAGTGATCCCTTATGCTAAAAGTAGCCACATCCCACTCTTTGGAGCTCTGGATCCCTGCAAATGGTCTTCTAATCAGGCTACCTGGTTCTATTCTGGCCTTAATACCTTGAATGCCCAAGCCACCCACTCCCTTGTTAGCTTTGGAGTCTTGCATTCTTTCCCAGCGTCTTCTACAAGTCTCTTCAGGCCTTTGTACCTCACCTCACCTGCCACTCATTCAGGTCCACACAGATGCTAATTTTGTGAGCATTTTTCCTAAACCCCGCCTCAAAGACTTCCAAAGAAGGCTGACAGTGTGTCACTTAGTCTCTCAGAGCCTCCATTTCCTCATCAGCAAATCAAGAAAGTCTAATCATTCTGGCCTCACAGACTGTTGCAAGGATTAACTGATTCAATGGAGAGAAAGTGCCTTGCACAATGGTCGTAATATGTGCTCAATAAGCAGCCACGTGTTGTTAGCCATGGAGTCATCCAGTCTGACCCCAGTGCCAACTTCTTTCAGTCAGTCAGTTCTTGAACTACCTCTTAGCCCTTGCGACACACATTCACTGGCTCTTACAAATGCCAATAAGTTGTTGCTTTACTCAGACTCCTGGTCAGTGATGGTCGATTGTCTGGAATGCCATGTGTGTTTGCTTGGTGCATCTCAAACCTGGATTAGCTGCCAAAGTCAAGGAGTCCTGCAAGGGAGTGTGATTGGAGAGCATGTCCTACTGTTCCCACCAGAGAGATTCATGGCTTCGTGGACAGCCTTTGTTTTTCTCCCTTAGTGGACATAAGTAGAGGGACAGTTTTTACAAGGGACTGTGGCCATTTGCTCTCAAGGGGCTTTGGAGTCTCCTCCTGAGTATGAGGCAGTAAGTTCCCAAGGTAAGATCAGTTTCTTTGTGCAAGCCTCTCCAGCGCGTCTTTGCCTTACACACTAGACTCTTGGAACCCAGGTTCATCCTCTTATAAAAGGATGCCAAGCAGAGGGTCATACAGTAAAGGGAGGTAAACATTCTTTTAAACTAGTTATCAATTCAACACAGCACAGTGGTGTTGGGTTACCAGGGTCAACAGCAGTCACATTCCTCAGCTGTTTGATTGGGGCAGTGCATTAACAAACAGCCAGGAAAACTCTTTCTGATTAATTATGTTGATAAGTTTTTTAGTAGTGTGCTACAAGTTCTTTTAATTTAATCTGCTTGGACAGCAGCCCATTCAGGTGAAGTGTCTTGACTTATCTAAAGAAGCACTAATGAGAAGGCTACTGGGCCTGGGATTTTATTGTGCTATCATGTAATCATTAACAGATGTGGCTACTGTTTTCCTGCATTTTGATTTTCTTCTTGAAAGGAAGGACATGTCTGTGGGGTGGGGGTATTAGGGAAGTAAGGATGAGGCCCGGCAGCAGTGACAGGAAAAGAGGATGCTATTACTAGCTTAGCCTGAAAACACTATCTTTATTGCCAGGAGTAAAAGTATTTGAAAGCACTAACAATGACTTCAGTGAATACTCATCTTTTAAAAAAGAGCAAAGGATGATGAGGACATACTTCTTTCAAAGAGCGGAAATCTTCTGGATTAAGGTTGTCCAATCTTTTTGCTTCCCTGGGCCACAGTGGAAGAAAAATTGTCTTGGGCCACACATAAAATACACTCACACTAATGGTAGCTGATGAGCTTTAAACAATTGCAAAAAAACCTCATAATGTTATAAGAAAGTTTATGAATTTGTGTTGGGCTACATTCAAAGCTATCCTGGGCCATGTGTGACACATGGGCCGCAAGTTGGACAAGCTTGTTCTAGATCAAGGTTTCTCCACCTTGGCAATACTGGCATTTTGGGCTGGATAAGTCTCTGTTGTGGGGTGCCTGTCCTGTTCACTGTAGGATGGGTAGCCTCTTCCCTGTAGGTACCAGCAGCACCCCTCTCCCCAACAATTGTGATAACCAAAAAGATCTGTAGACATTGCCAAATGTCTCCTGGGGCACAAAATTGCCCCCAGTGGAGAACCACTGTCCTGGATGTACAGATTCAAATCTTAAGTAGCCTATTATGACTCTCTGCTGATCTCTTTCCATCACCTCATTTAAGACACAATTCAGCTGGGCCCGGCTCACGCCTGTAATCCCAGCACTTTGGGAGCCCGAGGCAGGCAGATCACGAGGTCAGGAGATTGAGACCATCCTGGCTAACATGCTGAAACCCCGTCTCTACTAAAAAAAAAATGCAAAAAAAATTAGCCGGTCGTGGTGGCGGGCGCCTGTAGTCCCAGCTACTTGGGAGGCTGAGGCAGGAGAATGGCGTGAATCCGGGAGGCGGAGCTTGCAGTGAGCCGAGATCGCGCCACTGCACTCCAGCCTGGGAGACAGCGAAACTCCATCTCAAAAAAAAAAAAAAAAAGACACAATTCAACACATAACTCTTCCAGGGTGCCAGTCCTCCCTGACTTCTTTGTCATCTGTCCTCCCTACATTGAGACCTTGGGTCTATACTATCTTCTCCTTCCTTCTCTTCTTCCTCTACTCCCTTCTTGTTTTTCATCCACAGAACTCTGTTCTGAGCAACTGTTCAATATCAAGTTGCGAATTAACCAGGGAATTATTTCTCCTTTATATTTGTGACAGACGTCTATCTCAGAGGCAACCCAGACAAAATTTCCCAAATGGTCCAAAAATAAAATGAATATTTTTTGATTAAAAACAGATGTCTAGGCCGGGTGCAGTGGCTCATTCCTGTAATCCCAACACTTTGGGAGGCGAGGGGGTGGATCACCTGAGGTTAGGAGTTCAAGACCAGTCTGGCTAACATGGTGAAATCCCATCTCTACTAATAATACAAAAATTAGCCAGGTGTGGTGGTGTGCATGTATAGTCCCAGCTACTCAAGAGGCTAAGACAAGAGAATTGCTTGAACCCAGGAGGTGGAGTTTGCAGTGAGTTAAGATAGAGCCACTGCACTGCAGCCTGGTTCATAGAGCTAGACTCAGTCTCAAAAACAAACAAACAAACAACAGAAAAAAAAACACAGACGTCTAGGCCAGGCACAGTGGCTTGTGCCTGTAATCCCAACACATTGGGAGGCTAAGGAGGGAGGATCGCTTGAAACACGGAGTTCAAGACCAGCCTGGGCAATGTAGTGAGACCCTGTCTCTATTAAAAATAAGAGAGAGAGAGGGAGAGAGAAAGCAAAAAAAATACATGTCTAAATGGGGGCAATTTAAATTTGAGGTGAAAAGTAGCAGGAAGAAGTGGCAGAATTACAGAAATTTAAAATAGCTCACATTCTGCAAGCACTTAATCCACTATATGCCATGTGCATTATCTCATTTAATTCACACATTACCCCATTTTGTAGAGGAGGAAATAGAGTTTTAGTGAAGTGAAGAAATTTATGCAAGTCCCCAGAGTTGAACTGGCAGTGTGAGGATTTAAACCCCGGCAGCTTGATCCTGGGGTGGGTCCTCAGCCCCTGTTCACACAGTTACAGTCCTAAAGGGGTGGAAAGTCATCAAATGAGGCTGAGGACCAAGGGCAGGGTGACTTTTCAGGAGCTGTAAGAACAACTTGTCTGAATTCTAGAGGCCCCAGCTTTCAGTGTCTGGACCTATGCAAATCTACAAGTGAATGTGGTCCCATTTCTTTGTTTCCATCTGTCTTAGTGAAACTGCCTCTGCTTAGCGGTGTGGAGTATTGCTTTCCCAGTTTAGAAAGTTAATTTATCAAGGCAGCTGAAGTGAAGAATATGGTTCAAGAGGGTGCTTCAGCTAGCAGGTGCTAGGGGAGTGGGGTGGGGGTGGGGAATGTAGGGCTGGAGAATCAGGAAATAAATTAAATCTTTGACCCTTGATGACTGTGGGAGAAAAACATGTGTGGACATAGATCCAAAGCCTTGGCAGTACCTATCCCTTACCTGTCCTAAGCCGCGATTTTTGCTCATTTTGTATTTCTCATATGAAAGCACAAAGTTGTAGTTTCCAATTTCTTGGTGGCAAAATTGTGGGCAAACATTGAAAAAGAATTGAAAAATCTTTCATCTTGTCATTCCTCCTCCTCCTCCTCCTCCTCTTCTTCTGTTTTTGTTTTTTGTTTTTTGAGAC